AGACTTTTTCAACAATTACAATGAGTGGAAGTTTTTCTAGGAATCACAACTCCATGAGACGAAATGAGTACAACAATAAAAGCTCAGAGATATTTCATAGTTTTGATGGTATTTTAAGATCAGAGGAGATTGGCTTTGTAAGGATAAGGATGTGTTTGGTTTGTGTTTTGACATAAATTTTTTAATTTTTTTTTTAGAGAGTTTAGAAATTTTTTTGGTTTGTTTGATTTTTTAAAATAGTTTTGGAATTTGAGAATTTTGAATGATTTTGGTAGCGTTTGGTAGAGTTTTGTAAATGTGATTTGAGAATATGAGTTGTATTTTGAGTTTGTGTGTTGTGGAATTATGATTTGAGTATAGAAAATTTGTTTGGTAAAGAGTTTTGAAAATAGTTTTGGAAAAGAGGTTTGATTTGAGTGGGGAATTATTGATGTGACATTTGATATGTGATACAAAAATTTACAACTCATAACTAAACATACAACTCAAAATTATTTTAAAGCACATAAAAAAATTTAAAATTTTCAGAAAATATTTGTCCCGATTATGTAAATCAATTGCAAAAAAAAAAAAAAAAAAAAAAATCTGGAAATCAGCCGGACATCCGGGTGGACATCCGGGTGGTCTACCGGGTGGACATCCGGGTGGTCTACCGGGTGGTCTTCCTTTGGACAGAAAACACGCCAGTGTGCACAGAGTTCTCTGCAGAGAGTGTAGAAAATTGATTTGAAAACGTAACCAAACATGATGCTCCAAAACACACATAGAAAATTGATTTGAGAATACAAACAAACAGAGCCTTTATATTTTGTTGTAGTTGAGTAGATGTGTGCGAGAGAGAAAAAAGTGATTGAGAAGGAGAGAGGAGAGAGAAAAAGTGATTGATTGATGTGTAGGAAAGAAAAAGTGATTTTGGGATTTTTTTTTCAAAAATTTGAACCAAACAAATTTTTTTTAAAAAATCTCAAAAATTGTTTATGAGATACAAACCAAACAAGCCCTAAGTTTCTTTAAAAAAAAAATAAAAAAAATCGTCATTTTTTTCGGGACTAAACTCTCAAACATATGATCAAAATTCGAGAACACAGGCCTGAACATTATTCATTCGTTCGGGAACAGATAACCAAACATTTTCTTATTTGTTTGGGAACATATAATCAAAACTCGTGGAGATTGTGGAACCCACAAAAGGAAAATTTTGAATCAACAACAAAAACCCTACATTTATTTTCTCAGTTCATGAATAAATATGTGGGGATGAAATAATAACCACCTTCATGGGTTTTGTTCGGATTTTTTGGAGAGAGGCTTTTTGGGATATGGAGGTGTGCATTCAATTGAATGTGTGGAATGCATGAGGATAAATTTGTTATTATTTCGGGAGAGAAAAGAAATTTTAAGAATTTTAAAATTTACAAGTGGGGGTCTGAAGAAATGGGGAGTCTAAAATAATTGATAAGTGTTAATAGCAGTACTCTTTAAAATATCTATATCTATTGTGTAAATTACACTTTACCCTTTTATATTTGATTATTTTCTAACTCTAATTTTTGTAATTTTTTTTCCTACTTTAACGTTTCATATTTCAAGTTTTTTTTTTTTTTTAATTTTTAAAAATTTATTTCAAAAGCTAACTTATATCTAAAATTAAACTGAAAATGACGCATTAAAGTCATATGGTATAAAAATATTTTATTATATATAACTCTCACAGTAGACATAAACCTATACTTTAATATAATAGTATATTTTTTTATATCATGTGACAGTTAACGTAATATTTTTAGTCTCATTTTGAATAGAAGTTAGTTTTAGGAGTAAATTGAAATTTTTTTGAAAATGACAGACTAAAGTGGGAAAAAAAATTTTAAAGACTGAAATAAAAGAGTTTAAATTCTCTCAAGTTGACCAGTTTAGCTAAAAAAATAGGCCCGGCTTTGATTTGGTACATTTTGGAGTCAATCTCAGTAACCTAAATCGATCATTTTTTAATACTCGTTGAGTAAAATATTCTTACAAACAATTAAGATGATTGAATATTGATTGCTATATGTTTGAATCACATTTGTATTATAAAAAATGGATGATTACTCTTTAAAATTATAATTACATTAATTTTTTAAAATAAATGTAATTCAAATATATAGATATCAATATCTGATCATTATAATTTTTTTGCATGAATTTTCTATTGAATGAGTTCTAAAAGAAAAATTGTTTGAATCATCAAGAATGGTCCCAAAAATAGGCCCACCAAGCCCAAATATTTTCTCAAGTATATGGCCAACTTGAGATAATCTAATTCCAAATAAAAAAAATGATTAAACATAAAAATGGGGCAATGGTAAATTACACTAACACCCTTGATATTTTTATTTAATATAAATGCACTCACATTTGAAAAATTATATTCCCCTCTTTGAGGTTTGTAATCTCATTACAAATTACTCCTGAATTGCTGATGTCATATCCTAAAATTTCTTAAATGATCATCTTGCCTTTTTTCTTACCATTTTTTCTTCCTATCCTCATAATTACATTCTACAACTTTCTATCATTAAATTCTACCTGAACATATTCTTATTAAATGATTATATACAAACATAAATTTTATATAGAATTTTCAAAAATAATGATATAGTTCAATGGTGACCTTTCACTTTATAACAAAACATCCATAAATATAATTTATATTTATAATAATATCACTATCACAATATTTTTATAATATTTTTTTGTATAAATTTTTATATATAAATATAAATATAATTTTTCATTTTTATTTCCACTATTATATCTAGATTAGACCAATTTAATTTAGATATATTTAAAAATATAAAATATTTACAAAAAATTTTAAAAACAAATCCATTGAATATAAACAAAATAAGATAATGTATTGAATTTTTTTTTGGGTGAATTTTAAAAAAATACAAAATATTATACTTCTGAAGTATATCTAAAAAATAAAAAAATTACTTAACATATTAAAAAAATTTAGTAAAAATAACACGAAAAAAAAACTTAATTTTTTTTTTGTATGAATTAAACCAAAGAAGATAATTATTATTTCTCTTAAAATGACATGAACAAAATATCTATATTGCTTTATTATTTTATATGTATAAAAGCTAAGGAGCAAATATGTCATTTTAATTTGATAGGAGGTAAGTGTAATTTTTTAAATGTGGGGGAGAAATCTGTATTAAATAAAAACCTCAGGAGGTGTTAGTGTAATTTACGCGAAGGGCAAGGTTTAATTTACCCATATTTATTTGAGTTAAACTTCTCTCATTCACATCTCAATATGAGAAAATTTGAGAGACTCGTGAGACTCACCATGGATCCATTTCGATAATCTATACCGTTCATTTTATAAGGTCCTCAATTTATATAATCTTTGAAATTCAATAATAGTAACTTTTTTATTTTATTGTATTTATCTCTAAAAAAATTGATGATTTACTTTCAAAAATACATTTATTTTCTATTTTTAAGACAAATACAATAAATAAAAATAAATAACTCAAATCATTCAGTTTATTAAAAATGAGACTGATGATAAATTTCACAAATCCCTTAAATTCTTTGCGATGTGAATTGAGAGCACTTCCAGTCCTGTTTATTTAAAGGAGGTCGGATTTTATTTATGAGATCGAATTGAGAGCACTTCCAGTCCTATTTATTGATAGGAGGTGGGATTGTATTTACGAGATCTAGAAGGTTAGTGTAATTTAAAGTCGGGCCCTTCCCTAGGCCGCTGGCCAATTTTATACTCCTATCAATGTGAATGTTAACATGTCAATGTGAATATTCACATTGTCAACGGGCCGGGTCGGGCCCTTCCCTAGGCCGCTGGCCAATTTTACACTCCTATTAATGTGAATGTTAACATGTCAATGTGAATATTCACATTGTCAATGGGCCCGGCCCGGCCCGACTCGCGGGCGGGTTTTGGGCCGCCCACGGGCCAATTTTACATTCCTACCAATGTGAATTTTAAAATATGAATGTTCACATCATTAAATTGCTAGTCGTTCAAAAAATATTTATAAGGGTATCAAAATTAAATATAAGGGCATAAGTGTCCAAGAAAATAGTGTAAATCAAGAAAATGGACTTTATGGAATAAAACTATACATACATGGGACTAAATGGGTTAAAAAATTCCTTCATGGACTTCTTGGGTTAAAACACTTCTAAATTGGACTTATCAATAAAAATCCCTAAACTGAAAACGTAAGTGTTTCCAAACGGCACCTTAGTGTTTGTCATCTTAATTTTAATTATTTCAATAACCCGACCTCATGTAGAATGAGTAGAGGGCAGGCATGCTTTTGAATTTTCATCAGATTTATGAAATTTAAATGTGTATTTTTAAAATTTTAAACATTTTTTTTACTTTTTTAGATGTACCTTACTTAGATGTATCTAAAAAGTAAAAAAATTAGTAAAAAAATATTTTTAAAAATTAATAAATACATAAAAATATAAAAAAATATACTGAATTTTTGTATTTTTGATATTTAATGAATTTTTAAAAGATTTTTTTTATAATTTTTTTTATTTTTTAATTATATTTATGTTAGATGTGTCTAAAAAATAAAGAAATTACTGAAAATATTAAAAAAATTTAATAAAAATAAAAAAATATAAAAAATAAGAAAGTAAAATTTTCTGAAAGGGTAATGATTGGTGGCCACAAATTTTGTGGCTCAAATAGATCGAAAATACCAAAACAACGTCATTTTGGGTACAAAACAATTCTAAAAATGTCAAAACGACGTCGTTTTGACATTTTCAAACCATTTAAATTACAGAATTTATGACCATCAAATATTTTTTTTTCTGAAATTTTATTTATTTATTTATTTTTTGAAGAAACTAACCAAGCAAGGTGAATGTTCTTTTCCTTGGAAAAAAAGAAAAGTGGTTTTACGAAAACCGGTTCGGTGTTCAAAAGTTGAATTGAAACCAAAAAGCATCAGGATATTCTCTCTCTCTCTCTCTCTCGCTCTCGCTCTCGCGTGGTCCAAGCTCGTTTATAGTACCTAACCCTCCTTAGGTCGATTCACGCTAACAGTCGTCTCTCTCCCTCTCTCTCTGTCTCTGTCTCTCCAAATCTTTGTTCCATTGTTGTTTCACAGTTTCAATCTGCAAACATGCATGCCAATCACTTGCTTCTCGAAGAGCCTATCAGGATGGCCTCCATTCTCGAGCCATCTAGAGCCGTAAGTTCCATTTTTTTCTTTTTCTCAATTTCAATGTCGATCTATACATCTTTGTGTATGTATATATATATATATATATATGATTGTGTGACTTTGATTTGGAACTTGTACGATGTTTATTGATTTCACAGAATTTCTTCCCCGCAACGACAAAGATCGTTGGGACTTTGGGCCCCAGGTCTCGATCTGTCGAGGTCATCTCTGGTTGCCTTAAAGCTGGAATGTCTGACATCTTTGTGTATGTATATCTATATATATATATGATTGTGACTTTGATTTGGAACTTGTACGATGTTTATTGATTTCACAGAATTTCTTCCCCGCAATGACAAAGATCGTTGGGACTTTGGGCTCCAGGTCTCGATCTGTCGAGGTCATCTCTGGTTGCCTTAAAGCTGGAATGTCTGGTATTATAAATTTTCTCTGTAAATATTTGTATTTATGTGTTACAATTGTTGGATATCTTTGATTTTGTGTGGAACAGGATTTTGATTTTACTTTGAAGTTTGGGGGATTTGAGTAATGATTTGTGAATGTGTGGTTTTCAGTGGCTCGATTCGACTTTTCGTTGGGGGATCCTGAGTATCACCAAGAAACTTTGGAAAACTTGAGGGCTGCTGTGAAGGCCACTAATAAGCTTTGTGCTGTATGTATTTATATATATGGGGTTTTTATTAATTGAAGTTTGTTACATTCTTGATCTACAATCATTTATGCTCAGTTTGTTTGCATGGAAAACATTTTGTACGAAAAACTTTTTCCTATGTTTGTTGGTGGTGGTGGGACGAAGGTGGCGGCTGCCGTGATGGTTGGCGGTGGCCGTAGTGATGTTGGTGTGGGGGTGGCGGTGGTAGTGTGGAGAAACTTTTTTCGCATTTTAAAATTGAAAAATATTTTCATGTTTGTTTTTTATTGACCATGAATATTTTTTTGTTGACTTTCGTATTTATTATACCAAACATCAGAAAATAGTTTTGGAAACAGTTTTTTGCCCAAATAAACGGAGCTTTAATGAGCATTCAGATTCATCTTGCTGGAGGTTTTGTGTTTTGCTTCTATTTTGTTTTTTGTATTTTTGTTTGCTTACTGATTTCACTTGCATCATATTTTTTTGTCAATTTTTATGATGGTTAGTTTTGTGTAGATTCCCATTTGGTTGCAGAGAAAACCGAAGGGAGAAAAAGAAGAGAGGAAACTGATCTTTTTTTTGATTCCTGAAAAGAAAATTGAATCGGAATATGCTGTACAATGCTGTTTTTGGTCTTTAGGCATTGGGCAACACAACTTAACTGATGGTTCTTGGCTTCAGTTTTTAGTTGGATTGTTCTAAATGATAATTGTTTCGAATAAAGTTTGTGTAGTTTCGTTTATTTTCAAAAGAAGCAAATGGAACAGCAGTATGCAAAATAAGATTTGAGTTTGAGCATATTTTTTGTTTTTCAGGTTATGCTAGATACAGTGGGTCCTGAGTTGCAGGTTGTCAACACCATTGAGAAAACTATTTCACTTGAGGAGGATGGTAAAGTTGTTCTAACTCCTCATAATGGTCAGGAAGCCTCTCCTGAAGTGTTGCCTATCAACTTTTCTGGACTGGCAAAGGTATCAACATTTGCATCTCCCTGTCATTAATGCTAATAAATTTTCTTGCCTAGATTTTGAAGCGTAATAGATTGATGAAATTACATGAATAAATCAGAAAATGCATGTTGTTGGGTTGTCAAAATGTTTGAAAAAGGTTTATTTTGACTTTTTTTTTTTTTGGTTTCAACTTCTGGTAGTTATTTTCCACTCAATTATGACCTACAAAAAAACACACTAAGAATTAGTATTTCTTGGCTGTTTCGCAAATAGTTTCATCTTGTGCATATGCATGTATGTGTTTGAAGTTTGCAATGCATTAGGATGCTTCTTGAAACTTTCTCATTCAAATATAAATATTCTATTGTTGCCTCATATCTGTTGAGATTCTTACACGTGCATTTTGTTGAAGTTTGGGAGTGCAATTTGGGTTTGTAATCAATAGCTATTTTTTTTTTTTAATACTAACATTAATTTTTTTTGTCTAGTTATAAAAAATATGACTTGTAATTAATACTTTCTGTTGAATGGTAGTTACCTTGATTTAAAAAAATGCAAGTATGGCAGTGAACTTTTATTCTTTTCAGAATATTTGATACCATGCATGTAGGTCTCTTTTTAATATTATGTCAACTTCGTTGGAAGCATGTTTGATTACGAAATAATAATGTAGTACATTCTTGTAGAATTCTTATGATCGTCTCAGTTCAATCTCCATGCTTATCAGCCTTTTGATGTGGTTTTTGCAGGCAGTGAAGAAGGGAGACACCATCTTTATTGGTCAATATCTGTTCACAGGAAGTGAGACTACTTCTGTTTGGTTGGAGGTAGGAGACAGGCTATCCATATGGCTGACTCATTTCAATAGATTTCTTTATTTGTCTGTTTGTGTTGCATTGCATGTCTTTTTTTGGTGTGTGGGGGAGTTAGGGTGTTGGTCAGATTTTTTGCATTAAATTGACTCTGTTATTTGGCTTAATTAGTAGGAAGTTGAAGTGAATGTAGTTGTAGAAGTAGATAGTTTTGACTGAATTTGCACACAAACATGACTGATAATTAACTTGGTTGAGCAGGTAGATGAAGTGAATGGAGAAGACGTGGTTTGTGTGATAAAGAATACTGCAACTTTGGCTGGCTCATTGTTTACCCTACATGCCTCACAAATTCACATTGATTTGCCTACCCTCTCTGAAAAGGATAAGGAGGTGAGTCCAACTTTTATTGACTATAGTCTAAACATGTGTTTGCATTCTCTGTTTCATGCAGAGGAAATGGCTGAAATGCATAAATGAGGAATTTTTTTATAACATTTTGTGTAATTTTTTCCATCTTATGTGGATCTAGTGCATATTGTTGCTCACTGCTTGTCATTAATCAGGAGGCAGCCCTATTAATGTTTTATGCTTCCACTCTAATGCAGTGATTGTAGTGCATGAGTAACCATAAATTCAGAGCGAAGGTTGTGGAGCCCTATAGCATGTGTTAATCGATATTTATGTGCTTAGTCATAGAAAATCTTAAAAGAAAATGGGTTAGGTTCATTCGATGTTACTGTTGATAGTGTTGATGCATTTCTGAGCTTCATATGACTCCTGAGCTTTGGTCATTACAGTGACTTGTTTTTAAGAATCTGCATGATTCATTCAAAGTGACCAATTTATGTAATTTGCATAAGAAATTTGCTAAGTTTATGTTTCCCCCAAATACCACTTGCTGCCATGACTATTATCAAGTGCTTTTGGTGATATTTTAATGTTAATTTCAGGTCATTAGTACATGGGGTGTAAAAAACAAGATTGACTTCCTCTCACTGTCATATACTCGGCATGCAGAAGATGTTCGTGAAGTAAGGATTTACTGACTTTATTTTTCCTCCCCCCCCCCTCCCCCCCTATTTCTTTAATTTCCCCAACATTATGTTGTTTGAGTGACTGATGACATGCTTCTTTGTGCTATAACGTAGGCCCGTGAATTCCTAGCCAAGCATGGTGATCTTAGTCAGACCCAAATTTTTGCAAAAATTGAGAATGTAGAGGTGAGTTTAGATATAGTGGTAGCTTGAATGAGCTTGCTTCTTAGATGCAAGTTGGCAGAGATTTTCTGGCAATGTCAAAATTATACAAATCTTCAATTCTTTTTAGGGTTTGACCCACTTTGATGAGATCCTACAAGAGGCAGATGGTATTATCCTTTCTCGTGGAAATCTTGGCATAGATCTCCCACCTGAGAAGGTTAGTTCTTTAATTTGAACAATTTTTTTGATTACTGCACAGCCAATTGAGTGGTAATGTAAGATGACTAGATAGTCTAGATGCTTGTATATAATTGGGCAATTATGAAAGTATGAAATTGGTCCACATAGAACTGAACATTCATCCCATCCAGCAATCAAAGGGTTGAAGGCATGCCTTATGCTTACAACACCTGTATTTGCTGCTTGTGAAAACTTGATATGCATTGTTTGGCTCATTTGTTAATGACTTGAGTACTCTTACTGCAGTTGGGTGTATCGCATGGTATTTGAGTTTTTGTTTTTAGAGCTCTTGAGATTAAGTTGGAGTTTGTTTTCCAATTCTGTTTGGCTGATTGCACTCTGTTCAAAATATCTTCTCCCTCTGACATGGGAGAGGGGTTTCATGGGTGAAGGGTGTGAGAAGCTGATGTTTTTGTTTGGTTCTTTTTTAAAGTGTGATGGTAAGATTAATATGTTACCTTGAGGGGGAAAATGTATTATGCCAATTGCAGTTTCTTCATTATGTTATATCTGAAGAGGAAAATAGCTGGATATTCCTTTGGAAAGACACCATGTCCTTCACCTTGTACATTGTAACTTAGATGGTTGTTGAATCTCGAGATGTTTACTATATCTTATGGAAAATTCAAAAAAAAAAAAAAATTGGTATTCTGTGGGTTAATTAGGTAAAAGAAAATTTTTCCAAGGAGTCTTTTAGTATTTAATTGTTATTTAAGAAATTAAAAGTTAGTCAAAGTCATATCATCATGAAATGTTTATTCTTGTGTATTAATTTAACTAGCTCAAAGACCCATGAAGCGATGGGCAGGGAATCTAGAAAGAAGCCAAGAAAAAGTGGGTCCCACTTGAGTGATGTTTCCAGTTGCAATTGCCTTTCTGTTCTTTTTTAATCTGCCCAATATGTGAGCTCTTCTGGCCCAACTTACATGTAGTGGCATTAGGAGGGCTGAATGTTATTTGTGTGTTGCCATCCCTCCTCCCCCCATTTATATTAAATAGATAGATATGGTAGCATCAAGAGTGCAACTATATCATTGCTTCTAATCATCTTATGAGCAGTATTGGATGTTATTGTCTATTCTATAATATCAAGTCGTGATTGAGAATGTTCCATGTCTTGGATGTTTAATAGTTGGGGACTGTGTTTGTACTTGTTTTTAATTGTCGATGAAGTGTCTATACATGCTGTTATCTAAAACTTGCTGCTGGCCATATGGTCCATACCTTTATGCAATTTGCAGGTGTTCTTATTTCAAAAGGCTGCTGTTTACAAGTGCAACATGGCTGGAAAACCTGCAGTGGTAACTCGTGTTGTAGATAGTATGACTGGCAATCTTAGACCAACTCGTGCAGAAGCTACTGATGTTGCGAATGCTGTACTGGATGGTGAGTTACTTTTTTGAACAAACAAGTTGGTGCTTTATCTGTTCATTGAGATCCTTCTTAACACCATTGGTTTTGCGTATTATATTGTGTAGTATGCAATATAATTGTTGGTTTGGGATTCTTTTTAATCCTTTTTTTTTTCCTTAAAAGTTTGTTTGATATTTTTGATGAGTATGATATGAAAAATTTGGAACCTTAGTTTTCTTTCTTATCTGATCCTTAATGCAGGAAGTGATGCAATTCTTCTTGGTGCTGAGACTTTGCGTGGATTGTACCCTATTGAGACAATATCTATTGTTAAAAAAATTTGTGCTGAGGTAATACATCACAACATTTCTGAATAAAATTCTGTTGCTTGAAGAACTTTGTTGTTAACTGCTAGCCACTGATCTGTGCAACCTGGATTAACAGTTTATTTTGGTCTCTTAATTTGTTCACTGCAAAATTTGTTAAATTGGAAAGCACTTGCCTTTCTGTCTTAGGTGGGCCTGTTGTGTTTATGTTGTTTAATTACCAATTTACTCTTTTTTGTTCTTGATGTGGGTATGGTTTTACCCCTATTCATTCTGTCAGATGCTAATGATTTTAGTTTGGTGAGGCAATTGATGTTTAACCCCCAGACATATTTCTAAGTATTGGGAATTGTTTGTTTGCTTGTTGTAAATTAGATGTGGCGACTATTATGTCTAGTTTCTGAAGCTTTTGCTCAAGAGAGCATTTAATCAATATTGGCAACAATGGGGAACTCCAAGAAGTCTGTTACTTCTTTTTTCTACTTTCCCTTCTCTTAGCATTTGGGAATATATTCGTCAACTGCATGATGAGCATCACAGTTTTCTTTATCTTTGTCCTTTTGTCGTATGACATCAATTTATATGATAAGGTGATGTATATATATATTTTTGTAAAAAAAGTAGTTACAACTTGAAATAATATTACTAAGTGAATGGAATCCTTGTTTTATGTAGTTGCGTTTACTGCTATCAACTTTTTGTTAACAAAACATATCATTCTGATTATTTTGGTTCAGTGTTTTTATGCGTCTTTGTTTTTAATAATTATACTATAAATGCTGTGAACAAAAGATTTCAATAATTCATGCATTATAAGAAGAGAATATAGTGTCTGAATAATTTTTCATTTTGTTCATCATTTTTGGTACAAATCTGATTGCTGTGTTGGCAAATGGTTGAAGTACATATAATTAATGCTCTGACTCTTGAGATTTCACTGAAGTACAACCTAATCCTTGGTGTTTGCTTCAGATTGTTCCATATAATTCTGTTTGGTGCTTACTTGAGTTCATATTGCCTTGCAGGCAGAGAAGGTTTTCAATCAAGACCTGTATTTTAAGAAGACTGTCAAATATGTTGGAGAACCAATGAGCCACTTGGAATCCATTGCTTCTTCTGCGGTACTTTCTTTCAGATGTTCCTGTTGTACTTCATTCTTTTTTTTTTCCCCCCATCTCCCCTGATGATTCTGACTATGCATTAGTTTCTTTTGGATTTAGCTTGCTTAGTGCAAAATGGGGTTTCTCATAGGCTAATACACAGTTATTGTTTAGGTAAGAGCTGCCATTAAGGTGAAGGCATCAGTTATCATTTGCTTCACTTCATCTGGAAGGGCTGCAAGGTATTAGTATATCTATGCATTAGTTTCTATAAATGATTGTATAAATTAGTATATCTGGTTACCATCAAATTATTTGTTAATCTGGTTTTCTTAATCCATATATGCAACTTCTCTATGTTCAATCATGTCCACAAGACTTATTAGATTCCAAATACATGCAGATTAATTGCGAAGTATAGGCCAACAATGCCAGTTCTATCAGTAGTCATTCCTCGTCTCAAAACAAATCAACTAAAGTGGAGTTTTAGTGGTGCATTTGAGGTATATGCTCAGCTCTGATTTAATTATAGCTCATCTTCTGCAGGAATTAGGATCTATTTGTTTCTTGTTTTCTGCATAATTTCTTTTTCTTATTCTTCTTTATATTTCCTCTTCCTTTTCTACCAACTAGTTAACGTTCAAGCTGATGAATCTGTGCTCTTTTCCCATTATTTCCCCCTTTTCTCTAAATGGTTAGGCGAGGCAGTCGCTTATAGTCAGAGGTCTTTTCCCCATGCTTGCCGATCCTCGACATCCTGTAAGTTCTTGTTTTACATATGAATTTGTGGTTTATGCTGCTGCTGGGTGATGGATTCATGCCCACATACAATAGTTGTATGGTGTAATATTTAAGCATATTTTGTGGGCTTTGAAGGATGGAGATGCAGATACAGGATACAAATATGATACGGTACCCTTACGGATACAGCAATACACGACAAAAATAAATAAATGAAGAAATGGATACAGCAATACACGACAAAAAATAAATAAATAAAGAAATGGGTGTGGGCAGGACATGTTGCAAAAAATTATAATAGTTAATATATTCGTGAGAAACGATTTTATAGGAATAAGATACTAGTTTAAGACCCATTTTTTTTTTCCTCCGCCTGTGGATACGTTAATTTCAAAAAATTTGAAAAAGTGGAGTACTACTTTAGTCTTACTATTTTCTTCTTTGGTAAGAAATAAGAAAATATTGAAAAACTATTGTTGTATTTATTCTAACAGTTATATTATAGTACTATGCAAAAATTATTACAATTCTAATTTCATAGTAGTTTGGATATGTGACCTAGTGTGTCCAAAATGTATTTGATATTTCTCAAAATCAAAATCAAAATCAAGTATGCTATATGTTTAGGAAGTGTTATCTGAGAAGTATCAATATTCAATACGGGTACAATACAAATACAACTCTCTTTTAGAAGTATCTGTGCTTCATAGTCTCTGGGTTCTATGCTCCTAGCTGATTTAAGAATGTCAAAATGTAGTGAACCTTTGATGAACAAATAATAAATGTTCCATGTACTTAATTTTACTCGACTAGATTTCAAAAATTTTGTGGTTACCTACTTGACTTTGTAGGCTGAGTCTACAAGTGCGACAAATGAGTCGATTTTGAAGGTTGCACTTGATCATGGGAAGGCCTCAGGAGTCATTAAGTCACATGACCGAGTTGTCATTTGCCAGAAAGTTGGGGATTCATCTGTTATCAAGATTATTGAGCTCGAAGATTAGAACACTTCAGTTTTCCTCATTATGAGCCATTCTTTCCCAAGTTTTGGAATTGGTAATGGGACTTTGCTGCCATCCCTCTTACGAGGTTCAAATCTGGAGGTTTCAGACTCTTCTTATAATTTTCACATAGTATAAATGTACACTGGGCAATTCCTTTTTGTTTAAGTCGTGGAAATTTTGCCTGTGATTCCCTTTTTGGTTCCTGCATCTATGTATGCTTTAGGCTTTATTTTATTTTAATTTTTTGGCGTTGCATCGATGAACATGCTTCTGGTTTAAGCTGTGGGATTTTCATTTTTCTTAGTTACATTTTAAGGGTAGCTTTGATCTGCCCAAGTGTAATTTGGAATTTGCTTAATATTATACCTAAATCTTTCTTATAAAAATTTGTGTTGGTTTGGGATTTTATGTTCGGGTCCGTGATGGCATGAAACTTGGTGGTGTTTGAAAATTGATGAGACTATCGAGGGACTTGAGCCTGATTATTGAAGTTAATATTACTCTGTGGATGGTTTAACGCTCGTATTTTGACAGGTCTCTCCTACTTGCGGAAAGTTCTCTCTTGATATTTTACAGCAGTCACGGCACCTATGGGACTGCATTTTGAAACTTTTGTGCCACTTGTATTTTACTAGATTCTTGACAACAAAGTAAACTCTCTATTTTCTTTAACTTTTGCTAGTACCCTTATGCGAGTATCAAATATTTTGCCCAGCTGGCATGTTTGAAATGAATTCATATTTGATCCGATCCAATTTTGAATCGTGGGCTCTTCTCAAATCTTGTGAAGAACACATGAAAACTTGCTGTAAATTTGTGAGCTTATATCGGGTTGAGCACAAATTGATGACTCAGGTCTTACTTTTACCACATGTTAATTAGTGAATAGAAAAGAATATGGTGTCATTTCATGTGACGTGCTTGTTATATAAAATTAAAATTCCTGGACCATACGACCTGATTTATTGCTTATGAGCATCTATTGGTGATGATACAAGATAAAAGGGTCAACTGATTGGGTGTTTTCAGTGTTTAATTGTTCTATTGGTGATGATGATACAAGATAAAAGGGTCAACTGATTGGGCATTTTCAGTGTTCATTGTTAAGTAGAACGGACACCAGATTTTAGTTGTTCTATTGGTGATGATGATGACACAAGATAAAAGGGTCAACTGATTGGGTGTTTAATTGTTCTATTGGTGATGATGATACAAGATAAAAGGGTCAACTGATTTGGTGTTTTCGGTGTTTAATTGTAAAGTAGGAGGGACATAAGATTTTAATCTCAAGAACAAAGTGTTACCGTAGGGGCGTAGACAGGAATTTCTCCTAGTGGGATCATTTAGAGGGAGAGAGAACAAATGAAGGAATGCATCAATGACAATGCAACAATAGTTGTTAGAGAATGAAGCGTTGATGGAGTAAATGAATGAACAAACACTGAGTTAAAATTAACACCACTAAACAATGAATAGCTTCAAATATATGTGATATTATCTAGATTCACTGGGGTCATTTTGTTAAAATTGACATCACTAAACAATGAATAGCTCCAAACACTGGGGTCATTTTGTTAAAATCCAAAACTATTAAACAAATTTCATATATATTTAAACAAAATTTGACACCACTGAATTCCACATAGCCGCGCCCTTGTGTTACGGTCTATAATTATTCTACTAATATTTAAAAAAATTAAAAATAATAAATCTAGGGAATAGGGGGTGAGGCTAGGTATTAATATCATAACAAAAAAAAAATAAAAAAATAGAAGCCGACCATGTATAATTTAAAAATATTACTGACTAATACTGTATTAAGAGTGTCAAGTATTCATATACAATGAAATTTCTGGCTTATAAATTTACTCAATGGCTGAATGAGAAAGCTTCTATGGTGGAAAGTCACAATAAAACCTATACCACGAATGGCATAATCAATATCTTTAGGGTAAATTATATTAACCTTTTATGAGTTTTGAAAAAAATATAATAATAATTTTAATATAATTATATCGATTTCTTTTACTAAAGAAAAGGAGATAACATGAAAAAGAAATGATAATATCATCTTTTCTTTTTCATCTATATAATTATAATTATTGATGAAAATGTGATTAAGTATTATATGAATTGAAATCTTAGGAGATTCAATAGTAATTTAATAATATCTTAATGAAAAAAAAAACTATAGAAATATGGAAAACACTATGATGCACACACCATTTAAAGAGTATGTACCATATGTACCTTATAACTAAAAAGAAGAATGACATAATTTTAATTTTCTGAATCATAATTTTAAAAAAATGTCATAATTAAACATACATGAGGCATAACGAAATAACTTATGAGTTATAATTAAAGAAGAAAATAATATAACTAGGAGTGTATGGTACACTTTTTTAAACGGGGGTATATTAGAATTTTCCATTATGTATATTACATGTGTAGAAAAATAGGTCAGAAGGGGGCGCGCCCATGGCCTAATGGATAAGGCGTCTGACTTCTAATCAGGCGATTGTGGGTTCGAGTCCCACTGGGCGTGTCATTTTGTCTTGGATTTTTTCAAAATTTTCATTGCATGGGTATGCACAAATTTAGTAGGGGTAATTTACTTATTACAAGTTTATGGAAAGTTGTATTATTTTAATTTTTAATTATTAATATTTATCATTTATTTATAATTATTTGTATACAAAAATAGAGAGAATGAGTTTACCTTTTAAAATAATTTTTTTGATTGATTTTTAAACAACACCTAAGATTCTGGATTTCCAATATTACTAATATTTATTGGAATAAAACGTAAATACACCTCTTGAGATTTGCTTAAAATACAATTTGTTTTCTATGATTCTAGAAATTATATCCTATCTTTTAAAATGTCTAATTTCATAACAAATGATTTTTTTTTATTAACAAATCATCAAATCAATTTTACAGTTTTTTAATAATGTCAGGAATTTATTTTAATTAATAATTTTGATAATTTTATCATTGGATAGAAGAATAGTTAATTTTTTTTTAAAATTTTTAATTAATTCTATTAAATAAAAAATTCTGACAAGAGGACATTTATAATTTTTTAAACTACAAAAAGCAATTCGTATTTTAATCAAATCTTAAAAAGTGTATTTATAATTTATCTTATTTATTAATGTATCAACTGATATAATGATAGTATCGCCAATTTTAATATGTGTACCTTTTTTAAAACTATTGAATTTTGCTTAATCGAAATCCAATTTTCAAGTGAGGATGCTATTAATATTCTTCGTAGCGAACCGTTAAGGATGCTAAGGCCTTGTTTGGCAAGTGGTTTTTTTAGTCAAAAAGTTACCAAAAATATCAAAAAGTCAACAATCTATACTAAAAAGTCAAAAATTCTCTTTTCTCTTTATTTTTTACACATCTTTTTGTAAAAAGCTAAAAAGTCATTCCAAACATACTAGTTTTTTTTAGATTATATTTTAACCAAGTAACTAAAAAATTACTAAATTAGTCTGTTTCCAAACAGAGCCTAAGTGTGAACTTGGTCTTCACGTGGAGGAGCTTATCTCATATTAGAGTAATATTATTAGATTTAACGGTGATTCCATGCGAAGGTATCACTTTCTAATTAGTATTTATTTATTTTTATTAATCTGTAGTAAGGATCACAACATTATTAATGTAATGAGAGACATTTATAATTCATTAAATTTATTTTTGACTTTTTATTGTTTAGTATTACCGTTATATTTAATATTTTTTATCCTACCAGAATACATCCATTTTTCAAAAAAATTAAATTCCTAATTGTATTATCTCCCCACGGAAAAGAAGGCAGAAGTTATTGCCAAAGAAATGCAAAATGTTTGATTCAAGGCAGATTGGAATGATTGTTTCTTAGCTTACTTATGGAATAACCATATTCCCTTCCCTTACAAATGATGAATCCTGAATGGAATTTATTTCCCCTATTTCAAATATTTGAAGACTATCTAATAATTTTTCATACTTAAAATATTTTACCTAATAAATTATTAGGTGTTCTTCTAATGGTGAAGTATTCAAATAGTAATCTTATGAATTATTTGGTAAAGGTCTTATTCTAGTATAAATTATATAAAGAGTCAAGTGCGTGTTATGTGTTGAAGGACATATATAGATTTTCTTCTAATGTTGAAATTATTAAACGTAACACTTTAAAAAAACTTTTTAATGTACTTTTTTCAAACGTAACACTCCAAAAATATAACACTCTAATGTAGTACAGTAAAAAACTCCTTAATTCATCGTTTTCAAAAGTAACAAAATAATTAAAAAAAAACTCAATAGTGTACTTTTTTCAAACATAACACTCTAAGCCTCCGTTTGGGAAGTGGGTTGGCTTTTTGACTTTTTTGGCTATTTTAGCCTGGGCTTAAAAGCTTGGTTTGGGAAGGACTTTTTGACTTTTTGACTTTTTTGAGTTTTTTTGTAAGAGAAGAATGTAATGATTATGGGTTGGATGTGATGTTTTGTTTGTTATGGCTAAAATAGCCTATTTTGTTTTTTGTGGCTAAAATAGCCAAAAAAGCCTGCAAACCCATGCCAAACACAGGCTAATTAATGTAACACACAAAAACCCCTTAATATACTTTTTTCCAAACGTAACACTCCAATGTAACACACTAAAAATTCCTTAGCGTACTTTTTAAAAACGTAATAATCTAACATTTCAAAAAAATTTCATAGTGTATTTTTTTCAAATATAACACTCCAATCAATGTAACATACAAAAATTCCTTAGTATACTTTTCTAAACGTAACACTACAATATAATACCAGAAAACCACAAAATATAGATTTCCATGCGATAACCAACACTTTAGTTACCAATCTCTCTAAAAAGAATCTTCCATATCTTACCTTTCTATTCTTATCCTAAAAACGAATCACAAAATTGAAAAATAAATTACAAAAAAGTATTCACTTAAACTCAAATAATACCAAATCAAATAAACATAACTTTTTTAAAATAAAAAAGACTAACCAATTCATAAGAAAACTAACTCTTCAAACTAAATAGATCAACATTTTTCGTATAAAATTTATAAATAAAATTTTCTTCTTTTAATAGTGCTACATTTAATGGTTTTCATAATGCTATATTTAACGGTTTCAATACGCACAGAATTATTGATACCCACAGAATTATTTATTACACCAACATCGTTTTTAGAGAATGCTTATAAATTTAAAAATCCGTTTCGCCGTTGAGTAACAACATTAATCTTTACCTCGTAAGCGCTGTCAAATTATTAATAATACTTTCTTCAAAAAGCATTAATAAATTCCAAAATTCATTTCGTCGTAGAAAATCGTCTTTCTGACTGGCACAACAATAGGCCTTCGGTTGGGATAGTTTTATTTAGTGAA